GGCATGCTTTATCTTGAACTACGCACAGAGTTCATCCATCATCTTGTTGTTCAGATTAGTAGCATTATCCGTGATGATTCTTTCTGGTAATCTATATCGACAGATTATCTCTATCTTTATGAACCTGCAAACTATGGATCTCGTGATACTGGAATAGGAAGCCGTCTCTACCCATTTTGTGAAGTAATTGATTGCTACTAAGATGAATCGGTACCCATTTGAAGCTTTCGGTGTGATTGCCCCATTGACGTCCATGCCCCACATAGAGAACGACCAGGGTGAGCTCATAACGTGTAAAGGGGAAGGCGATGCTTGAATTTGATCTGCATATATCTGGCATTTATGGCATATTCTCACGTAATTGACGCAATCTGTATGCATCGTGGCCCAATAATACCTATATCTCATAATCTTTCTGGCCATGGATTAACCATTTGCATGTGTTCCGCACGTTCCGCCATGCACTTCTTCCATCACGTTCTTTGCTTGTTTAGTAGTTACACATCTGAGTAAAACTTGGTCACTGTCCCTTCTGTATAGGATTTCCCCATCAAGAAAGTACCCGACTTCCATTCTTCTGATGGTTTTCTTGTCAATTTCAGATGCACTGGGAGGATACGTATGGTATCTCATGTATTGTAAGATATCGTGGTACCATGGATAGCTATCTATTTCTTCTTCTATATGATAACAGTGGGCTGGGGTCTTATATACTTGCATCGTTATGAACATCATGTTCATTCTTTTATTAGCTTTGAACATTGCTGCTAGGGTAGCCAAAACATCTGCCATTTGATTGTCCTCTCGAGGGAGGTACTTGAACGTGGCATCCACAAATTCTTCCAGTAGTTTAAGGACCAAATTTCGATATTCGACTAGCTTTGAATATTTCGTCTCCTATTCTCCCCTTAGTTGGTACACTCCTAATGAGGAATCTCCGTATACTTTGAGCGTTTTGACATTTCTTTCAATGGCTGCTTTTAACCCCATAATACAAGATTCATATTCGGACATGTTGTTGGTGCAAAAAAATTCTAATATGCTTGTGAAAGGATAATACATCTCCTTAGGGAAAATCAATACCACCCCAATTCCATTTCCTAAAGCGTTAGAGGCTCCATCAAAGTACAAGGTCCAAGATTTGTTGCCCCCAGAGCTCTCTTCATCGGTGGAGATGCATATCAAATCCTTATCTGGGAAATTAAAGTTCAAAGCTTCGTAGTCTTCTAAGGCACGACTTGCAAGAAAGTTGGCTATGACGCTTCCTTTTATTTCCTTTTGGCTCACATAGACAATATCAAACTCAGATAACAACATCTGCCATCCAGCCAGTCAGAGCAGAGGACTCTATCAAAAATTTTAGTGGATCCAATCTTGATATCAACCATGTGGTATGGTATAACATGTACTGCCTGAGCCTCCGGGTAGCCCAAACTAAGGCACAACACAACTTTTGAATCAGTGGGTATCGAGTCTCACAATCGGTAAACTTCTTGCTCAAGTAATAGATGGCTCTTTCTTTTCTTCCTGATGTGTCATGTTGCCCTAGTACACAACCCACTGAATTCTTGAAAATCGTTAATTAGAGAATTAGTGATTTGTCGGGTACTGGTGCTACTAATATGGGAGCATTTGACATGTATTTCTTGATGATTTCTAGAGTCTCCTGGCATTCACTATTCCATACCTTCAGATTGTTCTTTTTGAGAAATTTGAATACCAGATCGCACTTATTGGTCAGTTGAGAAATAAATCGCGATATATAATTCAGTCTTCCCAAGAACCCTTGAACCTCCTTTTGTGTGCGAGGTATAGAAAGGTCTTGAATTACCTTGACCTTTTCTGGATCGATCTTGATTCCCTTATGGCTTACCACAAAGCCCTATAATTTCCCTGATTTTACTTTGAACGTGCATTTGGCTGGATTGAGCTTTAGTTGGTACTTCCTTAATCTTTGGAACAATTTTCTCAAATTTTGTACATGTTCTTCTTCCGTTCGGGACTTGGCTTCAATGTCATCTACGTACACTTCTATTTCCTTATGCATCTTGTCATGGAAGAGAGTCACCATGGTTCTCTGATAGGTTGGCCCATTGTTTTTCAACCCGAATGACATCACTTTGTAGCAGAAAGTTCCCCACACAGTTATAAATGTTGTTTTCTCCATATCCTTAGGGTTCATTTTAATCTGGTTATACCCTACGAAGCCATCCATAAAGGAAAACCAAGAATACCCCACAGTATTGTCTACCAGAGTGTCTATATGAGGTAAAGGAAAATTGTCATTCGGGCTAGCCCTATTAAGATCTCGATAATCCACATACATGTGGACCTTCCCATCCTTCTTCGGTACTAGAACTATATTGGCTACCTATTCGAGGTATTTTACTTCCTGAAGGAAACCTGCATTGATCTGTTTGGTTACCTCCTCTTTACATTTTAATAACATTTCCGATTTCATTCTTTTGAGTTTTTGTTGAACTGGCTTGTATTCTGGTTTAATGGGCAATGTGTGGACCACTATATCAGTGCTCAGCCCCGACATATCTTGATATGACCAAGCGAAAATGTCTTTAAACTCTTGGAGCAAATTTATCAACTCTAGCCTTATCTCTACGGATAGAGTAGTGACAATTTTTACTTCATTTTGTACTTCCACCGTCCCCAAATTCACGACTTCTGTTTCTTATTTGTGAGGCATAATTTTTTTTCATCACTTTCCATTAATCTCAATAGCTCACTAGGGACTTCATAGTCTTCATCATATTCGTACTCATTGACTTCTTCTAGACACAATGGTTCTTTGAAATTTATCTTGTAAATGGCCTCAGGAACAATTATGCTAGAATCATTGTGACATCTGCATGAAATTTAGGCACGGATATATTAGAATATAAAGAATAAAGAATAAAGAATATGATGCAAAGAACGTAATGTAAAAATGAGAAGAATGAAAGTGTTTGTCATTTTCGGGAAAAAAATATCTTTCATTAATTGATTGAATAATCGTTAAGTTTTAAAAAAGGTTGAATATATACTTTGAAGATGCTAATACAAATTATTTCTGGGCATTACTTTGGATTGACCCTAAAAACTACAGGAAGATCTTCGACTGTTCAGTTGTCGAGCTTTTCACCGTGGAGGCAAGGTCAGATTCCAGATAGAAACCTTCTGGGTTGGTTGCCTCCAGTAACCATGTTAATCGACAGTCCCTTCAGGGTCTCGCCCATCCACTGTTCTTCTTTTGCTAGCCTTTCGATCTCAACAGCGCTGGCCAGTTCTCATTTTACATCATACACTCCTCTGAATTTGAAAGAGCTCTTCAAAGGAGGGAAGAACATACGTTCTCCGAGGGCATCCTCTCCCCTCAATCTGGCTTTCCTTGCCTCAACCCTATTTTTTAGCTCTTGGCCTAGCTATTGGAAGGTGGGCTTAAACCCGAGCCCAAAACGATCTCTCTTCCATTCAACAGTTATAGGTTGTACTTTCCCTTGTAGATCTTTTCCCAGTCCTTTGCCAGTTATCGCTTTTCTTCCCAGGGTTTACCTTACCGTCATCTTAGTGCAATCTAATAGCGTGGGACGAGGAATTCTGCTTCCTTCAGGAACATAGGTTGTGTTGATAAATTCTAACGCCCTGAATGAGCATTCTAAAGAATCCTCATTGACTTCAATGTATAGGGTATCAATCGTCACAGAAGCTATGATTTCTTATTCAGCTCCGATGCTGACCAACCTTCCATCAATTATGAATTTCAGCTTTTGATGTAAGGACGAAGGAACTACCCCTGCAACGTGAATCCAAGGTCTCCCCAGTAAGCAGTTGTATGTCGGGTGGATGTTCATTATTACGAAGTCAATATTGTAAATAGCAGGCCCGATCATCAAGGGTATTTCCATATTTCCCATCACGTCCTTCTGGGTTCCGTCAAATGCTCTAACGATGTTGTGATAATCTCTCATGTGTGAGCTATCAATGGGCATTCTTTGTAGCGTAACCAAGGGCATTACGTTCAGTGCATACCCGTTATCTATCAGAACTCCCGGTAAGACATGGTCGTGGCAGTGTACCGTGATATTTAAAGCCTTGATGGACCCCATTACCCCTTCCGAGATCTCATCATCAGTGAAGGTGATATAGTTATCAGCAGATATGTGTCCCACGATTTGGTCCAATTTATACGTTGAGATATCCTCGGGGACAAAAGTTTGGTTAAGTACTTTCAGCAAGGCATTCCGGTGTATTTTTGAGTTGATCAAGAGATCCAAGATTGAGATTTTCTTTTACTATTTGTGAAGCTATTCCACTATGCTGTATTCACTATGCTTTAGGAATCTTAGGAATTCGCGACCCTGAGCTTCAGTTGCGGGCTCGTTAATAGTTGGTGGAGGTTATTCGTTGAAATTTTTTTGCATCACCATTGTCTTGGCCTTAGCTTTCGCTTTATCTACTTCAGTGGATGTCTCAGGCGAGTAGCATCTTCCGCTTCTTGTGAAGTGACCCACCTCGCCTACTTCTTCTGGGATTAACTTGCTTTCCTCTTTCATCATTTCAGCAGTTTTTTATCCCTCCGGTATGGACACACTAGTTGCGTAATTCCAAAAAACCTGTCGGGTGTCCTTAAACGGGAAGGGGGACGGAGTTGTAATCACAAATTTCGGAGTTGTTGACGATGAGCTCTCATGCTCTGGTCTAACTGTGATGACCACTGGCTTTCACACTCTAGGCATACTGTCAGAGCCATCCATTATACAGACGTCCATCTCTCGGGGGTTTTCCTCAAAAATTTCCAATTCCCCGTTGTTCATCATTCTTTGAAGTAATCCTCGGAATTCGTGGCAACTCTGTATACCGTGGTCCTCCTCTTAGTGATATTCACAGTATGTTTCACGTCCTAAGGGCCTTGACTTGAGACTATCTTTAATCATTCTCGACGTGCATAACTATCCAAACACCCAGCTGAGAGAAGATCAGACTTATGATACATTTCTCTTTGTCGTTCAGATCTCTCTTTCATCTATCATATTGATTAATTGCCCTCCGTGATTTTGAAGGGGGTGAGCACTTGCGGCTGGTGTTTTGAATTCAAAATCTCCAGCATTGATGAAGTTTTGTACAACCATCTTGAAAACTGAGCAATTCTCAATATCATGCCCAACGATCCCTGTGTGGTAATCACACTGAGCGTTGGCATTATACCAATGCGGGTAAGGTGACTGCATCGGTGTTAACTTGTAGGGACACATTAGATCTACCTTCAAAAGTGAGGCGTAAATTTCTAAGTACGGTACTGGCACTGGTGAGAAAGCTTGTCTCGTATTCTCTCTTCTCGGCACCCTATTCTCATAAGTGTTTGCCTTCTCTGCCCTAGGTTGGGTGATTGTAACACTGGCATCATAGTTCTTATGGTGAATGCTTGCATGGTTCACCTCGCTTTCTTTTTTCTTAAAATAGGGTTTCTTTGACCCTTTCCCTCCTTCAATCTTGCCATTCCTAATGGCATTCTCGATTAGCTCACCAGAAATGACCAAGTCGACAAAATTCTTGGTAGCATATACTAACAGATGCCCCAGATACGGAGCTTTCAGGGTATTCACAAAAATGACTGTAGTCTCTTTTTCTAGCAATGGGGGCTGCACTTGGGATTCCACATCACGCCACCTTTGAGCGTATTGCCTAAAAGTTTTGCTGTGTCGTTTCTCCATATTTTGTAGCGTCCACCTGTCAGGTACCAGGTCAGTGACGTGACGATACTGCTCTAAAAATGCTCGGGCCAAATCCCTCCATGATTTGATATAGGACTTGGCTAACTGGTTACACCATTTAACCGCCGATCCAATCAAACTATCCTGAAAGTAGTGGATCAGAAGCTTCTCGTTCTCAGTATAGTCAGCCATCCTCCTGCAGAACATTGTGAGATGGGCAGATGGGCAAGTGGTCCCATCGTACTTTTCAAAGTCTGGCGCTTTGAACTTCAGGGGAAATATGAGGTCAGAAACCAAGATTAACTTCCTTACGTCCATTCCGTAGAATGGCTCCACCTCTACTGACCTTAACCTTTCCTCCAGGCTTTTCAGCTGCTGTGTTATTTCGCTATCAACCTTTCCTTTTTCTGATACTTCCTGAAAGTCATGGGGTAACTCCTCTATGCCTGACTTAACAGGTCTTACCTTGGCAGGCGGTGGGTAATTAGTTTTATATGTGAGCTCAATATGATTCTGTTGATTTGCCATGTAAACTCCTGGGTGAGCTTCTTACAAAGCTGGCGATCTAACAGAAATATGTATTAGGGTGAAACCAGGAGGATGCGAAGGTCATGGTGTAAAACCCGGTGGGTGTTGGGGATCAAATGTGAACCCAACAGGATGTGACACTTTTGGTTCAAACCCTGGAGAATGCGAGGGATCTTGCTTGGATAACATTGGCTGGTCAACCTCAACCTTTCCACTCGCAGCATGTTCCTTAAACATTTCTTCGATCTTTTGCAAGATACCGACTTGCGAGTTTGCCATCTCTGCGTCCATCTTACTTAGTCTCTCTCATTTCTTCTTGAGCCTCTCTTTGTTCTTGTTCAAGTTGCTTCATTCTTGCCTCTATTTTCTTGGTCGTTCTGCGAGTACCGTACGGGTGTGAGGCTAGTGCCAAGATAACTACAATTGGTTGGAAATTATATTTTATTATTTAGTGAATTTTAATGAATGAATGCATCATTTAGTCTTTTAAACATTTAGAGAAAAATATATGGAAATGCAAATGCAACACGATATTGATTCCGAAATAACTTAGTTTATACAAAAAGTACTCAACAACACACAACATCTAAGAACTTAGGCAAAGAGAGTACATCAACATGGAAACTAAACGTAGAATCTTGCCATATCCCCTAATTTTTCGAGCTCTATAATCAATCTCATGATGCATCGTTCTTCTTCTGACTCCGGGATCATAAAAACTCTTAGGGCTACCGCTTCTTCAGATAACTCGTAGACTTGGCGAGCAACACTGCGGGCCTGACTCACTACTCTCCCCATTGCTTCATGTTGACTCTGAATGGTGTCCTGAGCCTGCCATAGCGTGGTTTCAAGCTCTGTATTAGTCAATGGTCGACTTTCTTCTAACTGTTGGATTCACTGATGGCATACATGTACTGAACTTCTAGCTCAACAATCTTGGCTTTTAAGGCCTCATTCTCCTGCCTAGCTATATCATGTGCGGATGAGTGGATCAGCCTTGCTTCTTCTAACTCAACTATTCTCTTCTTTAACAATTAATTTTCTTTTTGAAGAAGAGACCCATCACTGTTGTACGAGTTCTGAAAAATCTCATCCATACTAAGCAACTGTGCTTCCAACTGTTCAATCTGTGTCCGCCTCTATGTCAGTTCCTGGTTAGCCTTATCCCTTTGCTCTCTCAGCCTCTGAGCGTGCTGCAGGGCTCTTTTCATTTGTTCTTGACCTCTTCTTGCACTTCTTTCTACCCTATCGAGTTTTATTTTTAGGGCCTTAGTAGTATGATGTAGACCCTGGGCTCTCACATTCTTCTCTAAGGCCCAAAAATCTTGGTTTAACGCATCAAAATTCTCATGGACCTTATCTTTCTCTTTGGCCAATTGTTTTATCATCCCGTCCTTCTTAATCATCTCGAGCTCCCATATTTTCTTCTCATTCGAGAAGGTTCTATGTTCTTTTTCTTTTTCCATATTCATCAGCCGTATTTCTTCTCTTAACAATTCAGCCTCTGTCGGGAGCTTTCTTAATCACTCCTCCATAGTCATCTCGTCTTCTATATTTGGCTTTGGAGTGTTGTTGTTAATTATCTGTGACCTCTAAACCTCATAGTTCGGCATGAATATGTGCTCTATCATCTTGAAGCTCATGCAGTGGGGTTTATACCAAGTCATATAGATATTCGAAATCCGCTCTCGATAACCAGGAGTGGAGAAAGAAAACTCCGCCTCCTTCAGGCTGTGAGTTGCTGGTACGAACTATCGGGTATTGAACTTTCTGAGTGCAATTAGTGGAGTATACACAATCACTCCCCATAATCCATGTAGCATTACAAAGCTGTCATTACCACATCTGAAAAGTATGTCTTCTTTGGGTAACCAATAAGCCTTTCATACTATCTCAGTATCTTTTATGTTACGGAGAGCTTCAACATATTCCTTTCTCTTGCGATGCTCCAGGATTTGGCATTTGTTGAGGAAATCCAGTATAGGCAAAAAATTTGATTGATGTCTCTGAGCCCAGCCTTTCTCGACTATCCAGGAGTGGCTCCACCACCAGACTAGTAACAGTGAGGCACATCCGGTGAACTGACCTCCCCCCAATCGTCTATACTGGTTCAGTGACAAGAATATTTCTGCAAGGATGGCTGGTGCAGGATTCTTACTGGTAATAGCTTTGAAGAAATCAATTAAGGTGATATCGAAGTGATCCTCATTTCTGGGAAAAATTACCAAACCATATAATGCAAGTGCGAAGTGATCTCTTCTTCTTTTTGATGGAGTTTGCTCATAAATCAAACTCTTCAGAGGCTCAGAGATTCCCTCATCACGAATATACTATTTGACCCACTCTTTGGTCTTCCCGGTTAGCGTGACCATCTTAGTAATGAATCCCTTAGGTCGGATTGCCTTGGTGTAAATGGAATGTCTTTTAACATTCGAGATATTCAGTAAAACCATATACTATTCCAAGGTAGGGGTCATATCTACTTTACCAAAAGTGAAACACCTGTAAGCTGGATTCCAACACTCGGCCAGGGCTCAAACAACCACAGAATCTATTGGTACTCTAAGCAGCTCTACGATGTCGCCGTATATTTCTCTGAACATTGTCTTCTCATTATCATCCCAAACGGCCCAAATTCTTGATAACTTAGCCCAATGCACCTGTCTGACTAGGATAATTACCTTCCATGGCAAAGCTGATTCTTCAGAAGTAACAAGGTTGTCCCCGAATCGCGTCTGTCCATATTCGGACCAGGTCTGAACACTAATTGCATTTTTAGTCCCATCGGAAGACATTGCTGCCTTAAGCTCTTTTTTATAATAACTAGATAATTTGGAAATTAATACCATTTATGAAATGATGCGATATGATAATGATACATGCAATCAAGAAATAAAGCAACAAGTTAGTGATATTAGAATAATAAAAAAATTTAAGGAATAATTAGTGAAAATTTAAATTATCGAATACGAAATAATCAAAGAAAATTGAAAATTCTAACATCATGCGATCTAGTTCTTCTAAGTTAACCACATGGCTTTAGTTGGGTAGGCTTACTAAATTCTCTATATGTGGCAGGGTTCTAGTAAATGTTCCCTAGTAATTTCAAAACCTGCTAAGGTTGACCCCAATTCTGGCCCATTATAGACTTGCGAGTTGGGTTTCACTCAGGGGATCACACCACTAAAAGCGTACCTCGGAACTGGTATTCGGGTAGGCAACTTAGGATGCTTTCCAGAGGTACTTTATCAGACCCACACAAGAAAGCCCAATGCTCCTCGTGAGGTGTGACGTTTCTCTCTACTTAGGTAAATCGAGATTGAGCTCGGATTCAGAGCTGTGACATATAACAATCCAAAATAAATTCACAGAAGCATAAGCATTAACCAAAGAGAAAATCTTTTTCTTTTTGAAACAACATAATGAACCGTAAATTAAACAAGATCGAACTCGTAATTTTCAAATAGTAAATATAGGGTAACCAACTCGTGGCTTGACTCTCAATTTGTTTTTTTAAAAACAAAAGTCACCAGCGGAGTCACCAAGCTGTCGACACCGTTTTTCGCCCGGGCGGGAAAAAGACAGATACCGACTCGGCAATTTTCTTTTGAAAATCGTTTCGAAATATGACGAGTCGCCACCAATCATTTAAGGTGCGATTGGAACACCGTAAAAATTGGGTGATTTTAATAAAACATTTTATTTTAATAAAATATCAAGTTTTATGGTCTACGAAAATTCAGAAATCAGGTTCGGGAGTCAGTTACTCGTGGGGAAGGATTATCACCCTCACAAGCGCCCAAAAATTGGTACATAGTTGGTTACCCTATATTTAAAATTGGAAATTTTGAGTTCGATCTTTATTTAATTTAAAAATCATTAATGATGCAAAGTTGGAAAGGGTATTCATTTATTGAGACCGATAGCATTCGCCCCCGAGCGTCAATGCGAGAGATCAGCTATTGTGTTTAATAACCGAACATTGCCTCATTTTTAGAAAGCATGAGATTGTTTTAAAAAGGATGTCGACTTATTTAGGGAATTATCAGTAGTCACCCCCTGAGCGCGATCACGGGAGATATATTATTAATTCCTTAAATAAGTGAACAGTTCCTTAGAGTTAAAATAAAATGCAATTAGACAAAATTTTATTCATCCTAATTAAACTAGGGGCTCAAATCTAAAAGCATAGGCTCTAGTATTAATCCTATTTGATTTTAAATAATTATTGAATCGAATAACCAAGATGGTCCCTCGAGCCGACTCGCATTATCTCCTAAATTAAAGACTAGTTTGAAATCTAAGCTAAAATGGATGCTCTATTTAACCTATTTAATTATGTCAATATTAAAAATCTAATCAAAGTTTGAGGGACTAAAAGGGCAAAGGACTAAAATATCAGAGTTCTAAAAGATTTAAAAATCTAAAGTCCTAAATTAATAATTTCTAAATTAAGGAACTAGTTAAAAAAATTAATTATTACCTACAATATTAAACTAAGATTTTTATAAAAAATAATAATTATTAATTAATCTTTAATCGAACAATTGATTCGAGTATTCAGGCGTATAATACGAAAACTCGACTCGAATTGCCCCCTAATTATATTGTTGTGTCGTCCTAATTTCTAATTTTGATTCGAATATTAATCCTAATTAAAAATAAAATTTCAAAATAAATTAAATAAATACTAAAATTAAACAAAATAATAAAAAATAAAAATAATAAAGAAAATTAAAATATACAAGGATAAAATTTAAATTTAAGGACTAAATTGTGAGAAAATAAAAGAAAATAATTCAATAAAAAGTAAATAGGGACCAAAATGCAAGAAAATAAAAATCAGTAGCTAAATTAAAACTAATAAGGACTAAATCAAAATAAAATAAAAATGCGTACCAAAATAAAAATAAAAGGTCAGTGACCAAAGTGTAAAAACAAGATAAAATTAAAGGTACTGAAACAATAATTTTTTTCAGAAAAATAAAGCTTGCATAGAG